CCCCCCCCATGACGCTTCTCTGAAAAGTACAGTATACGTTCTTCCATATATTAGTTAACATTTATTGGATGAGGTTTTTGTTATATCCAGGATTATCAAGGTTGAGGTAAGTTTAAATTAATCAGTCGAGTTGAAGGCGAGATAATTAACACTTGCCGAGACCTTGAGAATTCGGAATATCACAAAAACAACAGCGTAAAAGTGTTAGAAATCTCATTTACCTACTAAAGTTCCGATAAAATTTAACTGTCCAAAGGTCTGCTTTTTTCACAAAAACGTTCCGACTCAAATACGCCATTCGTTCATGTTGTTTCTGCATGCTTCTCTTCATTCGTGTACTTAAAATAGTTAATGGAAATGAATATGGTGTCTGATACCGGTTAACTTCATAGAATGACCTTCACATGCAGTAGTGTGCCTATCTTCCAAATCATCTTTATTTTCTATGACAATAATATGGCATGTAATAATATAACACGGGCCAGCGTATATAAGGAAGTAGTTGAGTTTTCATTAATTTAAGATGTTTATGGCGACGAGTAATACGCCGTGAGATGATCGTACACTATTTTTTGTGTGTGTTTTCGTTGCTTTTTGTCTAAATACGGGTTCGTTAAGGGCAAATTTTAGGGGGGAAATCTGACGCTCAGAATGCATGGAGATACCATTTCCGAGGTTCAAATTTTAAAGATTGAACGCACTTCCTCGCAGCCAATAGGAAATCGCTAATACGCTAGGTATGAGATAAAACAATGAACCCCACTACTTTTCGGTCGATTTCAGGCTGGAGTCGCTGAACCCCCTCTCCCTCCCCCCCCTCCTCGGTTAATTTAAGTGAACTAAAACGTGCATTTTTTAGGAACCATTACTCACAGAGAGAAGTGCGGTTGCAGCGGAATAAAACGAAAGGTTGATATGATACAAGAGCTATTGGTTAAACTTAGCAATACATTGAAGGTCGACATTTCAGGATTGGATATTAATCAGCAGTCTTCCTCAGATGATGATGACACATTGGTGGGACAAATTGACGAAGAAGTACAAAGTAATCAGAAACGTCGAAGTGGATGGAATGAGAAAACCGAAGGTTGGGATTATGAAAACAGTACCCAAGGAACGGCACATAATGTGCAAGGTCGCAGTCCAGAGCAGCAGTTCTGGTCTGCAAATAAAGCTGCTTTTAATGAAGCATACCAGTTCGAGGATGGAGAATCAGCAATAGGTCGAAAGGCGAGAGGTTCTTCCAGAGAGTCTGCTAGTATTCGTGGAAGTATTGATCATGGCCAGTCGGACTATAGAGAACGTAGAAGTGGTGACCTTGCCCAGACAAACCGCAGGAAATTTGGAAGTATTGAAGTTGGTCAGATAGGCCGAGATGAAGAATTTAGCGGTGAAGATCCACGCGATTCAGGCTTGATACCATACAGACAAACACGTGACGTGACAGATGGTTATATATCCAGGGCTGATCGTAGACAGTTTCGAACAGAGGTTTACCAAAAGAGATTGAGAGGTGAAGGAGGACAATCTTCCCCCGAAACACGCATGCGTAGGGAATCAAATTCATCACGTGAAATTCCATGTGATGTCATGAGTGTGCAACGCGTTGATTCACGCCAGAGATCGTCTGGAAAAATAATCCCACGTAGAGAAGTACGTCGCGCGGAATCCATGCCCCCCAGATTATTCGAAAATAACTCACCACCGAGACGTCCTAAGGAGTCCTATTATATTGGAGCTGGCCCAAGAAGAAATTCTCCGAAAAACTTTAATACAGAGTCCTTTAGAAGTGAAGTGGCAGAAAGACGGCGGGACAGAAAGGAGATCATACGTGGAAAACGTTCGCCGGAAAGGTTTGTCATTTCATGCTTGAGTTCAATGTATATATTTAGGCCATATAAATATTGGACCGGCTTCAGAGATGTCCCTGACATTTTTGTGTGTGTTTTGATGTTATGCATTCAGGTGAACATAATGTTTTTGATGTTACTCTGGGTGTATATCCACACCGGGCAAGCTGAAAAGTTAGCCTGACCACAGTGGGAATCCAACCCACGATACTAGTCCAATGCTCTGCCAACTGAGCTACGAGGCCAAGTCTGTTCGACTTTCTCACAATTTCCTCTCGTGGTATTTTTCCTATTTTTATATGAACATGCATTACTCATCTACTCGTTCACATACATCAGAAGAGGAAAATCGCATAAGAAATGCCAGCACAAATTGCAAATGGGCCTTTACAAAGTCTGGGGGAGGGGGAGCTGGAGTGTCGAGAGAAAGCGGTGTATGATAGCCGCCAGACTGCATGTATCATGGAGATAAATCCCGATCGAAAATTGCGGCCACAAATTGCCACCAGCATGACATCAGCATGCGTAGATGGAAAATGCTGACGTGTACTGAATATTAACGAGACAAACTACTGTATTATTTCAAGATACATGTATATTCGGCAATGTTTTGATTTATTGGTTGGAATTTAAGGTAATGAAAAGTCTAAAGGCCAGCAACAATATAATGTAACTTATTAACTAAAATCACTTTGGGCTTACAATTTGAGCCTTATTTTGTTATAAATCAGTATATAAATAAAGCGAAACAAAAAACGTGCGAACACTCTTGACTGCATGAGCCACGATGCTATGTGTAATGAATGCTCAGCGGCATAGTAAGTTTTTGTGCAATTTCTGGTCGTGTATATTCATCCAACTGAACATTGCAGGAATCAATCCCTGTCGCACAGTGAACCGCTCATGCAAGATTATGCTTCTTCCATTTTTTTTTCAAATAGACGATCACAATTTCACGACAGACGCGACTCAGGTTCATTGAAGCGTCGTGCAACCAGGCAACGGTCACCAAATACAACCCAGACGTATTCCGACGACAGAATCCGAGAAGCACCTGAGAAATATTACGATGAACGACAACGGGATGCTCCTTACAAAACACGATCAGCAGCCGATTCTGATGCGTCAGAGTCCGATATAGCTCAAAATACATCCCACGAAGATAGCCAGAATATTGCGTACAGCGACAACGACGTGATCCAAAAGAGAGCAAGGCGTTTCCGAGAAAAACGTCACCTTGAAGACTGGGATAACAGAAGTGTTAAAAGTGTTGCATTTTAGATACTGTGTATAACGGTATATTACCATGCATGTGTAAAGCGAGGTGTAAAGCACACATTCTTTGTACATTAGTAATCATTCATGCTTTGGGAAGGAAGCTGCACGAGGGAAAGAACGGCTCTCTGTAGTAATATACTGATTCAATCTCAGCTGTTCTATGAACAAATACTTCGCTTTTCTATGAACAAATATTTAGTATTGGTGATATTCCTTTGGCGTTCAAAATCTTCGCAAATAAAGGAAAATTACAGTACAGAAAGTCTTTCTTTCCTTTAAATTTCGTCCAAATACAAGGAGCACATAATAAGTAAGTCTTGCAGTAATTACCGAGAAGCAGGGGCGGCGGAACAGGGGGGGGCTAGGGGGGCTAAAGCCCCCAGAAGTAAAAGTGGGGGGGGGCTTAGCCCCCCCCAGAAAATTTAGTTTTTTCTGGAAAACTTTGATAATTAAGGAAAAATTTAGGTTATTTTTTGGAAATTTATGTACTGTATAATGGAAAAAATTTGCCGTATTTTGTTTAAAAATTGTGTATTTCCGGAAAAATTTTTTGTTATGTGTCCGGAAAAAATTTTTTTATCCCTTTTCTTGTAAATGTCCGGAAAATTTTTTGTACCCCTAAAATGGTACACTGACCGAAATTTTTTTGGCGACGGGGGGGGAGACAAAAAAAAATTTAGCCCCCCCAGAATGAAATCTGTTCCGCCGCCGCTGCCGAGAAGCGAGGCTTTTAGCAAATACAATAAGATACTATAATAACATTGAGATACAGTACTCTAACTACTGTATATATTGAATAAAACTTGCATAAAATTTATATATAAACACAATACATCTATTAAATCCTGTTATGTTCCTTAAAGGAAAATGGCAACAAAAATTGTGTTTGCGTAATTTGAAAGAATGTTAAGATTACTTACAAATCCTTTTATACAAATTATCCCAAGCTATCCTAGTTTTTGAGATATTTGAAACCAAAATATCCTACCATCCGCCATCTTGCTTTATAATTAGATCTAATTAAATGACGTCACAACTAGGGTAGACATTTTCAAAATAGAAAATATTATCAGAGGAAAGTTTCTACATACTGTAGCTAGCTTCTGCCTTAATTTTAAAATAGGCAATAGTAGAAAATAGGATTTATCATTAAAATGACCCGAGTATTACTCGCGATACAAAATAATGTTACCCTGGTTGTGCCGTCACGCATATCCGACGATGGATATGCATATCCAAGATGGCGGAATGCATAACGATTTTGTTCGCAATGAAGTGTAATACTTTTTATACCAAGAACAACAAAGAAAATCTGTAAAATGGCTTTGAAATATATTGAATCCACCTTCCAAATGGGAGAAACTAAATTTTTATTGCTATTTCTCTTTTAAAGACAGATTTTTTGAAACGTTCTGTTTTACGCAGGCAAGGCATGTTTTAACATATATACTGGGGCCTGGGGGGGGGGGGCATTTAGCCCCGCAGGCCCGACTATAGTTAGTGGCTCAGGATGGGCACTAACCTTACCCTCAGTGACCAAAATCTTACACTGGGCCCTAATCTTGGCCCACACTATACAACGTTTAAAATATGTACTGTACGCAAGTAATTATCATATTTCCTACTTCATCCTAAATCGTAGTCTGATAACACTAGTTCTGGAATAAATCTTTTGCTTATTTTCACTTATCATCCCTAATGTAGAAATAACCGTGAGACTGATTTGGTGCTTTTCTACAGTTTAATAAGAGTAATATAATCTTTGAACGCTTTAATTTGTATTTTTCCGTACATGTATCTTGGCTTAAAAAGTCTTGAATATTAAAGTGGCATACCTGACCAGTATATTCAAGTGCATGTAGGCCTTATTATTACTGACAGTAACATGTGTATGGTGATCAATGTATTTGTGTCCGCTTTAGATCGTTTCAATAAACGTGGAAAATACAGTATACGATCGTTCCATTTTATGAATTATTGTCTTGAACGGTAAAATCCATGCAGAATATGAGCAGGATTTACTCGATTTACTGTTTCACCTTCAATTGGCAAAGGTAAAAAAACCCTTTTTTTGCCAAGTCAATTAAAATAACATATTTCCTTACATTTAGACACGTTAAGTTCCATGTTATTATTAGGTATACATAATGAGATTTCAGAACATTCTGACATATTAAATCAACATAAATTAATGCTAGCTTTAGAGGGTTTTTATACAGTACATATATGTTGGCCACATTAGTCCAATTTAATGCTGCTTACTGTGTGGTAAAGTCCTTTACCAGCAAAAAATTTCGCAATATTTGTATAGGTAATACGTAGTATGGTTTCGAGTGCAATTTGAAAAAAACATGCACTAGTGAGTTTTTCAAAGACTATCAAAATTGTGTACGAGTCCGAAGGACGAGTGCAATTTGAAGTCTTCGAAAAACTCGCGAACTCGTGTATGATTTTTAAAATTGCACGAGAAACCATACTATTACTTATTAATAATATAGATGAAAAAAATATGCAGTCACGTGCGTAGCTCACATTTAGAAATCAAGAAAATTAAGAAATTTGAAAAATAAATTTAAACAATTAAGAAATTTACACTGTACAGTATTTCTTTTTTGCACTGTACAGTATTTCATTTTTTGGCACTGTATTTCGAAAAGATTGCACTGCTCTTAGTCAATCAGAATTGATTTCATGTATATTATTAGAGATGAAACACACTTTGAGTACAGTAAAACCTCGCATATAAGAACCTAGATTTTCCAAGTTAACCTAAAAAGGTTATTATGTAAATGGTGCTTACCAGGAAATTAGGTTAAATAGGTTCTTATTTTCTTAAGAGAAAGGCGACTCGTTTTAGGGGAGGTATGGTATATGATTTATATAAAATATGCACGACTATACCAAGTCTATATATCCATTCTAAAGCTACACTGATTGTAACTTATGACTTCGTTTTGACTACTTGATAATATATAAGAATCTGTTTTGAAATTCTAGCCTGAACAGGTTCTTATTTAAAGGGGGTCTAAATAAAATATTTTAGCCTAACAGGTTCTTAAATTCTAGGTTCTTATTGTATGTATATGCGGGGTTTTACTGTATTAACATGTTTACTAAACTCAAGATTTGAGCTATTTACCTTCTTATCTACTTGGCATCTACATTAGGATCCCCGAAAATTTTCAAACCTGGCAGAACATTTTAGAGCATTACATAATGTTACATGTAATAGGCACAGAAAATAATCCCCGAGCCAGCAGCGCGAAGCGCCGTGCGAGGGTACTAATTCCCCCCGGCTATTTACATCCGGGGAAACGAAAGCATTAGCGAAGTCTAAAGTTCATCAATGAGCGCGGGCGTCGGTCACCAACGATGGGTGGTCATCCTCACTGATCTCAAAAATATGGCGGACTGTCATGAATAACGGACACTGATTGGTCCAATTTAAAGTTTGCATTATAACGGCTGCATGACGACAGCGAAATAACAAACATTTGACATTTCTTGATTTGATGAGTTCATGATTGATAAATTTCTTGCAAATATTCTTCATTTTTGCTCGTATTTCTGCAAGATTTTGTAAATTTCAAGAAAGAAAGGGCGAAAGAATCAGCTAAAAGAAGGGAGCCGACGTTAACGAAGGTAAGTTGTTTTAAACATTGATTTTATAATGGCTTTAAAACCCGACGGCCTTTGCGTGTATGAAACAACTAAACAAGACAGCATATAATTTCAGTGTATCTTTAATATTGATTCCCTTTTTTATATATTGAATTTTTTAAATAAAAAATAAAGCAAAGTTATTTGCAAGCGAGAATTTGAAATCATTTTATTGCAAACTCAAAGTTTATTGATAAAGCCATTTAATAGTTAAAGGCAGTTTAGTTTTATAAAGAACACTTTAAAACGTTTTGTGAATTGTTTGTGGTTGAATTTTACCTTAAATTGAAGCTTGTATTACGTATAATTACATACCTAAAATAAATATGTTGGGAAATTGATAATTTTGTAATTAAAAGTGATATTTTTAGGCGATTTTCATTTGTAAGAATACTCTTAAAAAATTATCGTGTTACCATGACAACTACTTTAGATACTTCATGCTCGGAAAATACAACGGTTTTGTCAGCAAGGCGAGGGTTTCTGCATGCAGGTATTTTCTAGTTTATTAGGAAGAATATTGTTGAGCTTGGCAGAAAAATTTGACTCCAAAAGTTTTAAGCAAATCTTTGTTGTCAAATCATCAAAGCATCTTTCATTACACAATAGATTGCACAATTGAATCTAAACAATTCAAAGTGTGAAAACCATCCAACCATGCTGAAACCATCCAACAGTATATAGTAATTAACCCACTGAGTGGCAGCCACGGTCTTAGCTGGGATTTGAGATTTTGGAAGTGCTTGTAAATTCCAAGGTGTGCACCAGCCAATTGTCCTGGATACCCTGGCTGCCTGGCAATGCACAGTTTACTGAAACCAGCAATATACTAGTATGCCAGGGGTTGTTCTATATGATACGACCAAATACAAGACCAACATACATGCTCACACATGTATGCCATTGTGACATGTATTAAAATGACTTATTGTAATGTTGGGCTATATGCATATATTACATACATACACCTAACACAAAAACATCACGCCATCACCGGGAATTACCATCTACAAACTAGATTTTACATGTTTTTATGAAATAAATAGAAGCAAATTATATCCGTTGTAAGTAGAAACACTCTATTTTACGAAAAACCTACATGGTTTTATACAAATAATCAAGCCGTGTTTCTTTTCATCTTGCCATGTTTTTCCAGTTCAAGACACGAACAGCTACCAACATTTGAATAATTATATTTACAGCGTAGAAAGGGTTTATATATTGTATGTATATTATAAGGTGATTTTAGCCTTGGAATTCCTCAGGGGTACAGTATGAAACAAATTTTCGGGCTATGGATATACAGGTATTTTATGCTATTAACAGGATTTCATTCATACTGTAGAAGATCATTCACAGCTGAAACTCAACCTTGTACCTAAGGCACAGAATACAGACCATACAGAAGTCTGGTTTCTTGTCAATGCCTATGATTTAGCGACAGGATAAATAGACCCTGGTGGCAGCGCTCTCCCCTTGTCGTTGACAAGTAAAATTGTCTGGCGTTACAGTAGACAGAGTAAAATCATTCACATGTACTGTACTACTGTATGTAGTAGGAATAGTTAATTCAAACTGACTTCTTTACTACCCCTAAGTATGTATGGTATACAGGGCAGTCCCCAGGAAATTTTTCAGGGGGGTGTAAGGTCATTTTAACCAACTGACGAACGAGCTTGTACCGACCGCCTGCTAGCTATGGAAGCTTGTGGAATTTCCGATGGAGGTCAACTACAGTATGGAGCCATTTTTAGATTAAGGGGGCTATAGTGAACATCGAAGGCGTGTGTTTGTCAGGGAGGTCCGGGGGAATGCTCCCCCGGAAAATTTTGAAATCTGAGACCTCCCAGAGCCCCGGAAATGCAATCAAATTTACTAGTTGCTGTAAAGTTTAAAGTTTTTTTTAAAGTTTCTTAATACAGTAGACGAGTTCTAGGCCCCAGTTACACGATACATATGAATGGAAATGTTGCCCCCCCCCCTGGTCCGCGGTCCCTGAAGTTACGCCCGTTCTGCTCCAAATAAGCCTGTTCTAAATCGCAATATTTGATAATTGAGTTTTTGGCGGCAATATATTGTGTTCAGCGGTTCTACCTATCAAATATGCTACATATACTTTGTATCGCTATGTGGTTTAACTGTCAATCTGGACTTGTTTCACTAACCGATTATAATGATTATCCTGCTGAGTAAATTTCGAGTAACCAAAATTTCCGTTTCTTATATAACAGGTGAAAATCATATCGGTAGTAGTTTTATTCGTCAAAAATATTTTTGTCTGCCGACTGAAATAGCAGTCCTACCGACTGAAGCTTGGAATAGAATTTCTGGGGGTGTCACCCCCACCCCCCATAGCTCCGGTCCTAATGGTATATCAAAATAACTTGCAGTTTTGATGCTTGGTACTGTCAAACAGTGACGAATGTTTTAAGTAACCATACTTTGACTTTAAGTCATACTGTATTCTCAAACAAACTTAATTGCCTCTTGTCCAATCACAATGAGTGCATTGCAATTTTGAAATCAAACTTACAATAGATAGAACATCATATTATTGTATGCTCAATTTTTGTTTACACAAGCTATGCCCAATTTTTGGCACAACACAGATACATTAAAGATTTGGGTAGGACTGCTTATTTAGGGACCGGTCATTTATTAGAGGGGGGGGGGGGCTGGTGGATTTTCATTTTCCTCAACATAACTTCATATGGCCCTGCTCCTGTCAATGCATAAAATAATGTGGCCCCCCAAGTGAGTGCACATGAAATGGCATGGCCCACCCTCAGTTACAATATGTATAATTTTTTTTCCGGAACAATTAATTTTGGCGACCTCCTCCCCCCCTCCCCCCCCCCGTCGCCAAAAAAATTCCGGTCAGTGTACCATTTTAGGGGTCCAAAAATTTTTCGGACACACCTAAATTTTTCGGAACATCAAAAAAATTTTTCACAAACATTGCAAAATTTACATTATTTCCCGCAAAATTCACAGAATCTATCCCATTTATTTTTATAATAACCCAATATTGCACGACTGTGAAGAGAATATTGCTCAACTAGCTTGGTTTGCCCGACTTTTGCCCCACTTTTGTTGAACATTTGCCCGACTTTTCGACTTTGTAATCTTTTTTTTTGGGGGGGAGGGGGCAGCTGCCCCCCCGTCCCGTACACCTATGCTTGTAGTTGTCACTACATTGTTTTGTTTTCATATAAATATTAAAAATTTGACTGTGGTTGATCCCTTCAGTGCTGTTTTCTTTTGTAGAA